CTTTTCCTGCTGTGAGGAAAAGGCCTGGGAAGACCCCAAGACACCCCTTTCAACTGCCCAACAGCATTTCTGCCGAGGACTAGTTCTCCCAGGGTCACTCGCCTCATCCACCCCGCTCCCCAAGCCAGCATGTGGCCCCACTCCAGGCTCGTTCATGGGAACCTTGGTGTCCCCTGAAGGCCCTTTCCCAAACAAAGATGCAGGCTGCTGTGTCACACCCCGTGACCACGGAAAGGCTCCCTGTGCCCCCACAGCCTGCCCGGATGCAGGCGCTGCTGGAGCTGCCTGGAGCGGCTGGGTAAGGGGACAGGGCCCGGGGCCCAGCAGCAGGCCTTCACTCTGCGAAGGGAGTGGGCTGACTGGGTGCGTGGCTGAGCTGGCAGGCAGGGCAGGCCTGGGGGAAGGCGGCTAATTCCCCAAGAGCAGAAAATCAGGCCTGGACCCCCTTTGCAGGCTAGATTTGACCAGTCTGCTCTGGCATGGCTGGGGTCGGGCTGGCATGGGGGAGGCCCGATGACTCTGGGGCCCGGTTACTGGGAAGCAGGGTCTCAGAGGGCTGCTAGGGCTGAGTCCCTGGGCAAGGTCCATTTATCCTTGACACCACGTCATGTGAGGTGGGGGGAGCCGGTGTCAGCCCATGATGAGCAGAGAAAGGTGCACTTGGGGGAGGGAGAGAAGCCCAGCTGGAAGGAGGGCTTTCCAGGCAGTGAAAGGAAAAGGCCTTGAAGGCTGCCTCCAGGCAAACCGTGTGCCCCTGGTGAAAAATGGCCAGGTCTCAAAGGTATTGCTCAAAGATGCCCCCACACTGGCCTCCAGGGTGTTCTGCATGCATGGAAAGTAGGCATGTTGGGCTGACACCTGAAAGGTCAGCAGTTCAAAACCAAGAGATACTATGAGGGAGAAAGATGAGGCTTTCTACTCCTATAAAGAGTTGTCTTGAAAAACCACCTTGTCCTAGAGCCTTTGTAGACACTGACTCAACAGCAGCGGGCTTGGTTTTGGGCTTAGAGGCCCTCTACAAAGAAAGGGCCCCACTCTGTGGGGGAGTCATGTTTACAGTTTTGTTCCCTTGAAAGAAGTACTAGGCCAAATTGCTGTATAATTTCCAATAACAACACTGCTGTGGGGAGGTAACTCCAAAAGAGGAAAGGCTGAGCAGGAAGAGGGTGGCCTCCAGAGACAATAAATGTGGGAGAGACACTAGTAGACAGAAAACTGAGCAGTGCATGCAGAGATGTGGGAGAGACACACTCAGGGAGAGAACTGAGCCGTGTGCACAGATGTGGGAGAGACACAGGAAGAGAGAACTGAGCCGTGTGCACAGATGTGAGAGAGACACAGGAAGAGAGAGAACCGAGCCGTGTGCACAGTTGTGGGAGAGACACGTGTGGAGAAAGAACCAAGCTGTGTGTGCACAGATGTGGGAGAGATACATTCAAATGTAAAATGGAACCGCATGTGTAGATATGTGGGAGAGACACGCTGGGAGAGAGAATTGAGCTGTGTGCGCACACATGTCAGAGAGAAACATCTGGAGAGAGAATGGAACCGTGTCTACAGATTTGAGGGAGAGCCAAGTGGAGAGAGAACTGAGCAGTACGCACAGATGTGGGAGAGACGCACACAGAAGACGCATGTAGAGAGAACCGTATTGTGTGTGCACAGATGAGGGAGGGACACACACGGAGAGAGGACGGAGCCATGTGCACAGACGTGGGAGAGACACAGGCAGAGAGGGAACTGAGCCGTGTGCATGGATGTGGGAGAAACAGACGTGTAGAGAGAAATAACCTGTGTGTTCAGAGATATGGGAGAGACACACGTGGAGAGAGAACCGAGCTATGTGTGCACAGATGTGGGAGAGACACACGTGGAGAGATAAATGAGCCATGTTTCAAAATAAGTGGGAGACACGCAGAGAGAGAAATGAGCCGTGTGCACAGATGTGGGAGAGACACAGGCAGAGAGGCTACTGAGTTGTGTGGATGGATGTGGGATGACACGCTTGAGGAGAGAACCGAGGGGTGTTTGCACAGATGTGGGAGAAAGACATGTGGAGACAGAACGGACCTGTGTGTGCACCAATGTGGGAGAGACAAATGCAGAGGGAGAACTGAGCCGTGTGTAAAGAGATGTGGCTGAGAAACACGCAGTAAGAGAACTGAGCTGTGTGCACAGATGTGGGAGACACACACACAGAGAACTGAGCCATGGTCATGTGCACAGATGTGGGAGAGACACATGCAGAGGGAAATGAGCTGTGTGCGTGCATGTGGGAGAAACCGACGTGGAGAGAGAACTGGGTTATGTGTGCACACATGTTGGAGGGACACTCACAGAGGGAGAATTGAACTGTGTGTGCACGGATGTGAGAGAGACTCGTGGAGAGATAAATGAGCCATGTTTGGAAAAAAAAGTGGGATAGAATTGAGCCGTGTGCACAGATGTGGGAGACACACACGGGGAGAGAACTGAGGCATATGCACAGATGTGGGAGAGACACAGGAAGAGAGAGAACTGAGCTGTGTGTGTACAGATGTGGGAGAGACACACGTGGAGAGTGAACTGAGCTGTGTGTGCACAGATGTGGGAGAGACACATGTGGAGAGAGGACCAAGCCATATGTGCACAGATGTGGGAAAGACACATGTGAACAGAGAACCAAGCTGTGCGTGCACAGATGTGGGAGGGACACATGCAGAGGGAGAACGGATCCATGTGTGCACAGATCTCGGAGACACATGCGGAGAGAGAACTGAGTGGTGTGTGCACAGATGTTGGAGAGACAAATGTGGAGTTATAACTGAGCTCTGTGTGTACAGATGTGGGAGGAACACACGTGGAGAGAGAACTGGCCCGTGTGTGCACAGATGGGCAAGAAACATACAAGGAGAGAGAACCGAACCGAGTGTGCACAATGTGGGAGAAACACACATGGAGAGAGAACCGAGCTGTGTGTGTGACACACGCTGTTAGATAATTAAGCCGTGTGTACACAAATGTGGGAGAGACACACATGGAGAGAGAACCGAGCTGTGTGTGTGACACACGCTGTTAGATAATTAAGCCGTGTGAACACAAATGTGGGAGAGACACACGCAGAGAGAAAACTGAGCTGTGTAGGCATAGATAAGGGAGACACCGGCACAGTGGGAACTGAGCTGTGTGCACAGATGTGGGAGAAACACACGTGGAGACAGAAATGACCTGTGTGTGCATAGATGTAGGAGAGACACACATCGAGAGATAAATGAGCCATGTTTGCAAAAAAGTGGGAGAGACACGTGCGAAGAGCACAATGGGCCATGTGCACAGATGTAGGAGAGACACAGGCAGAGAGGGAACTGAGCTGTGTGCACGGATGTGGGAGAAAGACATGTGGAGAGAGAACTGACCTGTGTGTGCACAGATGTGGGAGAGACACAGGCAGAGAGAGAACTGAGCTGTGTGCACGCATGTGGGAGAGACACACATGGAGAGAAAACCGAGTCACGTGTGAACAGATGTGGGAGAGACACAGACGGAGAGAGAACTGAGCCGTGTGCACAAATGTGGGAGAGACACACGCAGAGAAAGAACGGAGCCATTTGCACAGATGTGGGAGAAACACAGACGGAGAACTGAGCCGTGTGTGCACAGATGTGGGAGAAACACCTGGAGAGAGAACTGAGCCGTGGGCACAGTTGTGGGAGAGACACAGGCAGCGAGGGAAATAAGCTATGTGCACAAATGCGGGAGAGACAAATACAGAAGGAGAACTGAGCCACGTGTGCACAGATTGGGAGCGACACACGTGGAGAGAGAATTGAGCTGTGTGTGCACAGTTGTGGGAGGGACACTCGCAGAGGGAGAACTGAGCCATGTGTGTACAGATGTGGGAGAGACATACAAGGAGAGAGAACCGAACCGTGTGTGCACAGTGTGGGAGAAACAGACGTGGAGAAAGAACTGAGCCTTGTGTGCACATACATGGGAGAGACTAGTGCGGTGAGAGAACTGAGGCGTGTGTGCACAGATGTGGGAGAGAAACACTGGGGGAGAGAACTGAGCTGTGTGCACACATGTGGGAGGGACACACGTGGAGAGAGAACTGCTCTGTGTCCACAGATATTGGAGAGACACACGTGGAAAAATAACTGAGCTGTATGTGCACAGATGTGGGAGAGACACACGCAGAGAGAGAACTGAGCTGAGTGTGCATAGATATGAGAGGGGCACACGCGCAGCGAGGAATGAGCTGTGTGTCCGCAGCCGTGGGAGAGACATACGTGGGGAGAACTGAGCCGTGTGTGCACAGATGTAGGAGACACACCTGGAGAGAGAACTGAGCCTTGTGCACAGATGTTGGAGAGGCCCACACGGAAAGAGAACTCAGCTGTGCGCACAGCTGTGGGGGAGAAACATGGAGAGAAAACTGAGCCGTGTGCACAGATGTGGGAGATTCACACACATGGAGAGAGAACCGAGTTGTGTGTGCACAGATGTGGGAGGGACACCGGCAGAGAGCGAACTGAGATATGCGTGCACAGATAGAGAACTGATGTGAGAGCCAGAGGGAGGATTTTCAGAAAGAGGGAGGATTTGAGACTTGGGTAGGGATGGGGGGGTGCAGGAGAGAGAGGGGGAATTGTGAGACTGAGGGGTGGGGTTGCAGGAGAGAGGGGAGATTGTGGGCAAGAGGGTGAATGCAGGAGGGAATAATGTGGGAGAGACACTAGGGAGTTGGCGGAATGGCTCGTTGTCGAAGAAATCAGGGATCTGACCTTACTCCGGGGGTTCTGGAAGAGGCAGTGGTTATGGAAGCAGACAAGAATTATCGGACAAATAAGTATGGCCATGATTAGGTATTATGGGACAGAGATGGAATTATGGGAGACAAAGTGTCACCATCCTGGATTCTACGGGAAGGTAAACCCAAACCAAGCTCCCTGCCCTGCGGTTGAATCCAGTGCAGGGCTGTGGGCCTCAGCCCACCTGCCTTGGAGCCTGGCATTGGTTACCTTCAGACAGTAGGCTCAGAGCCTCGTCGGATGGGTGGCCAAAGCCCTGAGCCGTCTTCCTGGTCCCGTGATCTTCATAGAGTTCCCCAGAATCCACTGGGGAGACACAAGTCCTCTCAGCTTCCGGGCTCGTCAGCGACTCCCACTGCAGCTCCTTCCTGGGCGCCCGCAGGTCCAGGCCGCACCCCGCCCAGCCATAGAAGGCCAGGGACAGGAGGAACCCCTGGGCTGGGTTCAGCATGCTCTGCATGGGGGACAGACAGAGGCACAGGTCAAAGGCAGGGGATGGGGAGGATGGGGGGACAAGTAGAGTGGACGGGGGCCAGGGGAAGGAGGAAGAGAGAGGAGAGGAAGGAGAGGAGGGAGCAAGGGAAGGAAGAGTGGAGAAGGAAGGAGAGAGGGGCTAGAAGGAGAGAAAGAAGGCAGGGCAGGGGAGCAGGGACCCAAAAACCCAACCTCACTGCTCACTGCTCTCAGTCAATGGCGACTCACAGTGACCCTGCAGGATAGGGTAGAACTGCACCTATGGGTTTCCCAGGCTGTTCTTTATGGGAGTAGAAGACCTCGTCTGCCTCCTGAGGAGTGGCTGTGGTTTGAACTGCTGGCCCTGCAGTTAGTTGCCCAACATAACCACTATGCCACAGGGCTACTGGAGGAGAGACTAAACCCAAAACCAAGCTCACTGCCATGAGTCAGTGCTGACACAGTGACCCCATAGGGCAGGGTTGAACTGCCCCAGTAAGTTTCTGAGACTGGCATTGTGGAGCAGAAAGCCCTGGAGGAGAGATAGGAGACCAGATAAAGGAGGGGAAAGAGGAAGAAGGAGAGAGATGGGGAAGAAACCCCCCCTCGGCCACATAGGACTTCCAAGCTTCCTGCAGGCTGAACACAATGTGCCCCCACTACACTCTCTCTTGCGCATCAGGGCACAAACACACGCAGGGGAGAAGACAATGGCTGTGCTTTGCTTTGCACCAAGACGACTATGCAAAGCCACTTGCTCAGCCGCTAAGTTCTGATTCACAAGCCTTCCACGAAACAGGGAACTCCCCAAGGGCCAGGAAATGGCAGCAATGCCTTTGTAGAGTGAGATAATGCCTTGTCCACCCCCTGCTGCCCATTTCAGAGCTTCTGCACGGAGCCAGGGGCCGGACACCATAAACTGTGCCCGCCTTGTTGTCAGGAGTTGTTATAGCTGCTAGTCCAAAGGGCTGTGGCGCGGAGTCTGCAGGACAGGGGCAGTCAGTCCGAGGAGCAGCCCCACACCAGCCTCCTAGGCTGCTGTGAGTCAGAATGGTGTCTGTAACAGGTTTGTGTTTCTGGTTGGTGAATTGGCTCTGACTGCACGCCTGAGAGACAGCGGCCCTGCCCTGCGGGCTTGCTAGGCTGTCACCTTTACTGTAGGTCAGGTTGTGGGCTGCTAACTGCAAGGTGAGTGGTTCAAACCCAGCACCCGAACAAACCCTGAGAGAACAAAGAAGGTGTCTGCTCTGGGAAAGGTGTCCAGTCAGGGCTCAAAATGGACTCAGTCTGTCTTTATGGGGCAGACTGCCGCTTTGTTCTCTCTCTGAGCTGTTTCTTGCTGCCCAGATCATGCTGCTCCCAGGAGGTGCCGAGAGCCCTGGGGCCAGCGGACAGCCATGGGGCAACCCGAGGGAGGAAGGCAGGGAGCACAGGGGCACAGCTTCCACCACTCAAACTGTACTTCCTGCGTTCACCACTTGGTGCTTCTGAGTCAGGATTTGAACAAAGGCAGATTCTTGAAGCAGATAATGTGCTTGGCAGAGGGGGGGCCAGTATGTCACACGCGCATGCACACACACACACACACACACACACACACACACACACACGGAATTCCTCAAAGGGGCCAAGTGAGACACTAAGGCATGAGGACCAGGAGGGTCATGCAGCCTTATTCTGGCCTCTTTGTGGAAGCTGCAGCAATGCACGCTGGACAGCAAAGAGCACATGTCCTTGCCATGAACCTGCGTTCAAGCTTTTCATTATACATGTAACATAATCACAGTACTGGGGCCGGGGGGTGGGGGTGGGGCAGGGATGAGGGTACTCACCCCGGGCAGTCCTTGCATGTCCACTATCACCCAACATACTCTCCGAGCTTGCTTTTTATAGCATTTGGATGGGAACTCTGCTGGCATAAGAGTCACACTTTGGGCTGTGATCCCCATTGTCAGCAAGTCGAAACTATCAGCCACTTCTTGGGAAACAGAGAAGGCTTTCTACGCTATAAAAGTTACAGACCCTACAGTTCTGCCCTGTCCTGTAGGGTCACTATGAGTTGACATGGACTCGATGGCAGGGCGTGTGGGGGTGGTAGCTGTATGTACTGACAGTACATAGCCTACGTTTCCCACCCAATTCTGGGTTCTTCACAATCATTTACTTGTGAGGCCTGCAGAACTTTCCCTAAGGGTGGCCGCTGGGAACATTCCATCAGGAAGAAAGACCATCGCTGGCCTCAAGGCTGCCTTTGTCTTGCTGGAATCTGGGCTGTCCACTATCCTGGGCAGTGTGAGTAGTGAGTGATAAAAGGGCACCTTCACTCCTGGTTTCCCCTCATCTGGAATGTGGCTTGCCCCAGTGATTGTGGAATACCCCCAGAGGGACCAACGACTCCTGATTCCAATGGTGCCTGAGGCTGGCTCCCCGAGAACCAAAGCAGCTAATCCAGGGACCTATTGGAACCACAGCAAACTGTGTTGTGTGCCTCCTGTCGTTTGGCCTTCTTCTGATCACCACTGACCCACCATGACGGCGCAAGTAGTCTTAACAGCAATTCTGATGTGTCACTGAGCTGCCAGGACACCAAGGTCATCTTCATGGAAATTCTAATATATCACTGACCCACCATGATGACCCACATCATCTTGAAAGCAATTCCAACATATCCATGAGCCACCAAGACGGCTCACATCATCTTAACAGCAATTCCGACGTACCCATGACCCACGATGACAACCCACGTCACGTTGCCGGCAATTATGATATATCCATGACCTACCATGACTACCCACTTCATCTTGACAGAAATTGTGACGTCACACTGGCATATAATAATGATCTACTAAGTCTTGATGGCAATTGTGACATCTCACTGACCTACCATGATGATCCATGTTGCCTTGACAGCAATTCTGACATATCCATGACCCACCATGATGACCCACAGATAGCAATTCTGATGTATACATGAGGATCCACGTCATCTTGACAGTAAATCTGATGTATCTATGATGCTCCATGAAAACCCATGATGTATGGATGGCTATGGGACATTTCATTGGCCTACCATGATGACCAACACTGTTTTGATGGCAATTCTGACCTATTGATGACCCACCATGATGATCCAAGTAGTCATGACATCAATACCGAAATATGCATGATCCTCTATGATGACCCACATTGTCATGACAGAAATCTGATGTATCCATGACACACCATGATGACCCATGTTGTCTTGAGGGCAATTCCAAAATATCCCTGAGCCACCATGGTGATCCACGTCGAATGACGGCAAATCTGACATATCTATGACCCACCATGCCAACCCACAGCATCTAGACAGCAATTCTGACATCTCACCGACCTACCATGATGACCCACGTTGTCTTAATGGCAATCCTGCCATATCTATGACCCACCATGACCACCCATGTCATCATGACAGAAATTCAGATGTATCTATGACCCATGCCAAAGACGCACATCTCTTCTCTTGAGGGCAATTCTAAGCTATCAATGACCAACCATGACAATTCCGTCATCTATATGGCAATTCTGACATCTCACTGGCCTACCATGAATACCCCCGTTATCTTGACAGCAATTCTAAAGTATTCATGGCCCACCATGGCAATCTACGTCATCTTGATGACAGTCTGACATATCCATGACATACTATGATGACCCACGTTGTCTTGACAGAAATTCTTCCACTTGTATCACCCACCATGATGAACCAGGTTGTCATCATGATAATTCTGATGCATCCATGACCCACCATGATGACCACATCATCTTGACAACAAATCTGACATATTCATGACCCACCATGACAACCCACAGCATCTAGATAGCAATTCTGACATCTCACTGGCCTACCATACAAACCCCAGTTGTCTTGATGGCAAATCTGTAGTATCCATGGTCCATCTTGATGATCTACGTCATTTTGACAGCAATTCCGACATATCCATGAACCACCATGACAACCCACATTGTCCTAACAGCAATTCCGATGTATCCATAGCACACCACGACAACCAATGCCATCTTGATGTTAATTCTAAAGTATCCATGATCCCCCATAATGACCCACATTGTCATGATGGCAATTCCGAAGTATCCGTGGCCTATCATGATGATCCACGTCATCTTGATGGCAAATCTGACATATCTATGACCCACCATGACAACCCACGGCATCTAAATGACAATCTGACATCTCACTGACCTACCATAACAACACACATTGCCTTGCCGGCAATTCCAAAATATCTATGAGCCACCATGATAGCCATAATCGTCTTGACTGCAATTCTGACATACCCCCGACCCACCAGGACACCCCAAGTCAT